TTTTATTGTTATGAGATGATAAAATATGAATAGTACTTTATATGTGACTTATACTTTTCAAATTTTTCAAAAAAATTTCAAATAAAATGGACGGTCAAAGTTATGCATGGAAAATCATGGCTGCACTTAGAATGGGATGGAGGGAGTAAATATCATCTCCACTCACCTAACTTGGTCACTGATTATACGTGGGAAATGTCTTTGTTCTCCAATGTGTTCATGTATCACCTATCCCGATTATGGATTTTTGACTGCACACAATCCTCTCTTTTTTTTCCTGTTGGATTACTCACTTCTTAGTGAGATTTACGAAGTATGATGCCCCTGAAAAACTAGAAAAGGAAAAAAGAAGCAAGAGCTAGCACGAACGGGCTAGCCCATCAGTCAAAAAGAGTTTAGCTGGCATATTGTGTTAGTGATATGCCCTAGAGGCAATCATAGAGATGATTGTATTACATACTATGTTTACATATTTATCTGACTTTGTTCCTTGAAATAGATAAACTCATTATTGGTTAATGAATATGTGATTCTTTCATGAGACTCTTTATGTTATGTGTTGCTATTTCTAAAGGATCCCTGATCAAATATCATATGTGGAACAAATATGTTTATATGATCAGCACATGTATTAATTGATGATCATGTCTCATGAATCATGGTACAGAGATACCAAATTAATAATGTGGACACATGTTGGTGAACATGTTGTTGGATAGACCCAACATGAGACACTGCAAGAGCCATATGTGTTGTGTCATCAGTGATCTCATTTAGTGTTGGTGTTGAATCCTTAGACCTGAGATTATCATGGTTCCCAACATGTGTAGTAGCTTACTTAGGGACTGCTAAACGCTACTCCGTAATTGGGTAGTTATAAAAGTAGTTTTCGAGTATGCTATGAAACATGTAGTAGGATATGAATAATCAAGATGGGATTTGCCCCTCCTATGGAGAGATATCTCTAGGCCCCTCGATGTTGTAGATTATGGAAGTGCATGGCCATGCCAAAGGTGATTGAGGAGTCAATCGCAAGTTATATAATCTATCAACAGGTTCAAGTGAATGATTGAGCTATAAGAGGATGGCACATATCTAGCCTTGAGCTTAATCGATATCGTGAGGCAAAAGGGATCATACAAGTATACACTAGAGGTTCAGCCGATATGATCTTTATGTATGCCCGGTGGGTCAATACGTTCTGCTAAGGGCCGCTATTGATGCGTGGACCGAAAAGGAGTTTTCGGGTTACAGCCGAGTATATGTGAACGTACAGGGTCGCACGCTTAATGGGCCGGAATAAGGGGATTGGATAGAGATCCAATATGAGCTTAATTCGGATAGGGATCCGAATAGGAGTCCTACTGGCCTTGGAGGCCCGAGTGATGGATCCTATATATTCGTGAGGGGTGTCGCTGGCGGAGGTATTGCGTCACATGAGAAACCCTAGCCGTCACTTCCCTCCCCGAGCAAAACCCTAGCCGCGCGCGGGTGCTAACACATCTGCGCGTGGCGTTCCGTCCCTGTACGTGTGGATACCGGTAGAGGCGCCGCTGGTTTGCGGTGCTGATCGGCGTGGGAGTACGGCGAGGAGAACGCACGAGGAGGAGAAGGTCGAGCCGGTGCGATCGACTACTTCCTCTACATCGACGCGCGCTACTTCGCAAGATTTCCTTCGACTTCTCAGCGTCTTCTTCCGCTGCGCAGCGCGTCGAGTGGTAACGATCTATGATCTAATACTTGCATGGTTCCTGGTTTACGCGATAAAAAATTTTGATTTATGCTATCGTAGCCTACGCGTATCCCAACATATTGGGCTTTGGCAATTTGGGCAAGCACTAGTTCAGTAGCAGTAGCACTACTCTAGTCCCAAATAAGGGATTAGACGCATCATTGGTTTATAAGGTGTCGAAACTAGAATTCGACAATATGAAAAGGGGTAGTGCATAAGAAGGAAAGTGTATGGGTTATGAGATAAGGGTTTAAACAGGTTTAGGCCTTCTCGATGAGAAGTAAATACTCTAATTTTGTTTGAGGATTTGATTCGCTGATCGTGATATTGATCTGATGATCTAAAGTGTGGTTATGCCCCTCGAGAGGCACCCTGCCCTTCTTATATAGTCGGAGGAGCCAAGTTTACAGAGTAGAGATTTTACTCCTTACGGTTTAAATCTCTATAACTACTTTATGATTCTAAGAATCCAAGACTACGGGATGTTTCTTTGATACTCAAGTGAACACAATACCCGAGTCCTTATACTATACATATTCTATTTATATGAACCATCCCATGCAACCTGTCGGATAGCTTTGCCATGTAGGTATATGGTACCCATAATCTCCACATAAGGCTTGTTTCCAATTAATCACGTATAACATTGGTCCAAACCATTTTGCGCAAAGGACGGCGACCTTAGAGAATTAACATCTTGGTGTGATATAACAAGTTGAGTTCGGGCTAGAATCTTTTTGACCCTGGACATTTCTTACGTGTATTATCATAGCCAACCCTTATGGTTCATACGTAGGCATACAATGCATGTGGGCCGATGAAGTCGACATATGATATGATGTATGTGACCATCCGAATCCAGTCCGTTTTCATCCCTACCATGTAGATGTGGTCCAACAAGTTGAGTTGTGCCTAGAATCGTTTCTAGACCCTAGGTGCTACAAATCGTATCTTACCTACCATTAAGGTTACATGTGTGTATAGCCTACCTACGTGTGCATGAGGTAAAAAACAACAAAGAGGTTAGGGTGCAACGAGCGAGGCCAATCGTGACGAGGGAGGTGATCAGTGTCGGAGCCAGAAAATTTCCACGCCTAAGGCTAAGCTAATGGGATCTCAAATATTTTCATAAATTATATAGCATTTTTCAAGATTATAACGGAGATTATGGAGCTATGCATGGGGCCCAAGCCCTAGCTGCCCCATGCCTGATTCTGCCCCTGGAGGTGATCGAAGAATAGAGACAAGCGAGGCGGTGTTGGCAGGTGGCGTTGTAGACTCTATCAACACAGCTAATTGGCCCAGCTGAGATGGCAACCCACATGCTGACATGCGTGCCGACGCCACTGGCCTATGCTTATGCGGGCCTTTATGGGCCAGGATCCAAATAGATATGAGAACATTTTTTTAAGTATTTTTCTACTATTAAGTGATTTAGAATAGATAGCAATATATGCAAATTTTTTATTTGAATGTTTTTGACAATATTTTAGCTTCTTTTGAATTTTTTTTATTTTTAGTATAATTTTGCAATAGACTTTTCAACTAAAAGTTTCATTTGAAATTTAAAAATTTTTAGTAAACTTTCAACTCAAAATTTAAACCTTTCAGCTCAATATTAAAAAATTTGAACTCAAAATTTGAAACTTTCAATTCCAAATCTGAAACTATCTACTCATTGTTTAAACTTTCAATTACTCCAAATTTAAAACTTTCAACACACCTTTTAAAAATTTTAACTCAACTATTTATTTATTAATTCATAAAAGTTAATTTTTTAATGTACTTAAGCGCTCCTATTTACGGTGAGTTCGCCGTGTCAGTGGGGGCACGTCTGTGGTTGAACGACTTACGACGCTACCGCATGCCACCAACTAGGTGCTACCAGATCCTGGTCACGCATCGAGGCTACCCAAGCGCACCATCTAGTACATAGTGGAGAGGAGAGAGGGAAGAGGAATAAGTGAGAGGAGAATGGCAGATGGGTCGAAATAGAATTTTTTTTATTTCTTGCTACCGACTAGGATGCCATGTAGGCTAAAACTGCTTGTGTCTAAGAAGAGCATAGAAATTAATTGACTTTGAAGAGTTCATCGATAAATAATGTCTGGTTTTAATGTTTTGGAAGTTTATGAATATGTAGAAAATACATTTTCCCTAATTGAAACAGTCTTCAACTTGTCGTTAATTGAAAGTTTGAAACTAACTTTTTTTGGGTGAAAATCTATCATTTCACTATTTTGTTAGAAAATAACTCCGAAAAGGAGAAATGAAGTCTATCAAACTTTCTGTGCCTTAAAAACTTAAATTCCGGCACGCTTAATAAAGTCTATAATCTAAAATAGCTTCACTAACATGTGACAATACAGAAGAAAATGCAGAAGAAAGAATGCTAATTATTTTGATGGGAACACACATAAACATCACAGGTTACCTAACATCGTGCGTGTTGCTCGGGGCACCTCTTCAGTAGTTAAGCTCATCCCAAACCCCCTAATGAACAAGGAAGAGCTCCACAAAATGCCAAAGAGAAGAGAAACAGAGGGGACATATAATTTGGTGCTGCCTTAACAAGCGCAGCATTTTCTGGTTTTCTTTATGCATATAAAACAAAGTACAAACTAGACATGGCCTCAGTGACCTCTCGACTCCACATTCACAAACACATGAACTCCACAGCTCATGAAATTAACTCGCCCACATGGTGTAGCACGTCCAGAGCACACACTTTGAATGCAGAATTATGCAACAGCAACAGCACACGTGACCTGAACTTATTAATCTCTAAAGAAACAAAAAGCATGAAGGGAAATGAGCAATAATTATAAGATACATGAAAAGGAAACACAAACAACAATAGAAACCAATCCATCATTCAGCTCATATGCAGTCATGCCCCCTTTAGAATTGGTTCGTTTTGATTCAGAGCGATCTGGTCACGCAGGTTCTTCATGAGTTCCTCGTTGTGGTCACCCTTGAGCATAACTTCTCTTAGGCTTGGAAGAGATGACACACCAGAAAACCCATTTTCGTCTATGTGTATACAATTATCGATCTGTAGCAACTCAAGCCTTGGCATCGCTCCTTGCATGAAGGTTAATGATTTGAGGCCTTCTTGATCTTTTAACTCCATCACTATAAGGCTCAGGAAAGTCCCTTGCTGAAAATTTAAACAGAGTTCTTTGCTCTAAAAGGAGTTCATCCATAGTCACAAAATGGCCAAATGCGGTAGCTTCCCAAGGACTTCCAAGGAAAGATCCAATTTCAACTAGGTGCTCCGTAGCTTCAACTTAGTCAAATTCTGAATTTGGGTGATCCATGTTGGCAGTGTAACTAGATTTCCATAAATCTTGAGGCTTTGAAGCTTACTTGGAGGTGTGAATGTGTGATCCAAACAACCTTGTAAACCTGGTTCCCCCTCTGATCGCAATGATAATGAGTGTAAGAGGACAAGGTTTGCAATGGCAGATAGAACAGCTTGGCTATTTTTCTTATTGACCCCCGTCAATCCTAACTTATGTAGTTTTTTAAGTTTTTCAAGATCATGTAATATGGCTTTCTCGGCTGCAACATTAACAACACCAAGTGTGTGCAGGTCATTCAGTTGGTCGATCCCTTCAGGAGCTTCAACACCATACATGTCAAGTCCATGTAGAATACTAGGAAACTTGACCTTGCAATATTCGTGGTATATGTCACGCATCTTTACATTGTCAGTATTTTGCATTTTTTTTCTGCAATAAGCTGCTGTCATGTCCAATGCCGTCGTGCCAAGTTGAACTGATTTGGCTACAAAATCTGGCATTTCTAGATCATCAATTGCCTCATGCACCATTTTTGAAAGATCACTTGATTCTTTCAACTCTATAGAAGAGGTGGCATCATCCTTTGGTACATTGCCGGCACAAAGGTATTGGAGCTTCTTCAGCTTGGTGATGGTCTTTGGTAGCTTGATGATACGTGTACCACTGACATCTAACACCTGGATGTCCCACAAGTTGCCCAATGAATTTGGCAGTTTATAGATATCGGCACATCCTCTCAAAGAAAGGTAACTGAGGTGAAGAAAAATGCCAATTTGATCCAGGTCATCATCTTTCAAACCCGATGTGCCCTCCAAATCAAGAATCCGAAGCATCCTCATCATGCTAAAATCTAAGGATGATCTCCACTCCCCAAATACAGTCACTGATCTTACATGGGTCAGATCAGCACACTGCTTCAATGCATTCTTGTTTGTCTCACATACGTCGATTATAGATAAATGGCGTATTGTACCTTCGTTATTAGAGCTAACTTTTCTTCCTTGGATTTTGAGATACTAATCTTGTGCATAAGATTATGTACTCGAAAATATTTAATATTGCCAGCATTGTGAGGTACTGGTTCTGATGGTTCAATGATGCTTCGATTGATAAGCTCTGCAAAATAGCTGTCACCTACCTCTTCTGCACTCAAGCTATGAGTCTTACTTATGTAACCTTCTGCAACCCAACGTCTTACTATGCGTTTGTGCCTAATATTGTGGCCTTTGGGAAAAACAGACAAGTACAGAAGGCATAACTTTAGATGATAGGATAAGTCATCATAGGATGGTTCAAGGATTGTACTTATTACTTCAAGATTTTTTTTGCTCACTGACCCAGAACTAAAATCATCATTCAACTTTTTCCATTCCGAAGCTGTTTTTTGCTTTCTTGCCAAGAAACCAGCAATATTGGTTATTGCAAGGGGATGACCGTCACACTCCTTTATAATGAGCTTTGCTTGAGTAGACATGTCAAGATCCAAATCAGTATTCGAACTATCTACAAATACCTACAGTTGTTATGAGAAGATTGTCAACATGCACAAATATAAGGTGGATGAGGTACATTGTTTCTAAAAAAGCAACTAATGACAAAAGAGTTGCTACAAAAAAAGATATGATGAAATATCCCAAACAAAAGGTTCTTATAAAAATGCGCGTACTAATATTGGCACATGTTGACAAAAGACGACATCAATGCTCATAAGCCACAATGAATACTCAAATAGTACTGTGAGATCTCCATATATTACTTTGACAATTATAACTGGCAAAAACGTAAGACTTAGGCTGCGTCCGGGTGGTGGAGTTCCCCGCATAGAAAATGTGGTGGTTTATTAATGTATAATTAATTAAGTATTATATAAGAAAACTTGAAAAATTGATTAATGTGTTTTAAAGCAACTTTTGTATATAATTTTTTTTCAAAAAAACACATTGTTTAGTAGTTTAAAAAGCGTGCGCATGGAAAACGAGAGAGATGAGTTGGGAAAGTGAACAAAAGGACTCAATCTTAGAATACTATATGGAGGAATCTTAACCAAAAAGCTATGCATAGTAAGGATTAGAATACCCCTGTTCATTTTCTATTAGTCACTTAACATTTTTTTAGATAATAACACTTAATTACATATGTGAGAAAACATTTAATGCTCAAAAGTTTGATTGACAAGCATAAAAAAACACAATTCTTTTTAGGATTAGTAGGAATACCTTGTTCTTGAAGAGTGCAAGTGCCGCATCTTCTTTAAGACCTTCCAGCTTATATATGTTTTTGTATGTCACCGAGCAATGCTCAGCAATACTTGCTTCTCTTGTGGTGACTATGATCTTTGTGTTTGTCTCATTAGGCAAATGTGGTTGTATCAAGCTCCATTCTTCAATAGATAATACATCATCGAGGACAAGGGGGCATCTTCTCTTCGAAGCCTTGATTGATTCTTCACTCTTCTGCACACCATTTCCAAGAAGACTAAAATCGTGTGCATCTAATTCCTGGGCTAAGCTCGTAACAAAATCATGAAGGTTAAAAGGATGCAATATAGTGACCCAGGCATACTGCTCAAACATGCTAGTGATCTCTTTGCTTTCATAGACACTCCTAATGAAGGAGGTTTTGCCAATACCAATCATTCCCCATATGGAGATAATATGATGATTCTCGCAGTTCTGAGAAACAAGTTGAATGAGGTGAGATTTTTCCATTTCTCGTCCGATGTGTGGAGCATTCCTAAAAGCAGGTCCCATTGATCCTGAGATTGACCGAAAAAAAAAGTAGCATGATTACGAGAGGCGCATACAATGTGGCAGGGGAATTATATTTTTATAGTGCTTCATCTGACCTATTTAAAGATAAGTGTATCAAAATAATAATGATTAATTATTTTATAAAAAAAATTATTCTATCTGTCTCTATTACTTTCGTTCTAGGACTCAAGTTTTGTACCAAATTACTTGCCATTCTCATATTATAAAACATTTTTAGATATTAGGGCACGTTTGGTTGTTTGCTGAACTGGGCTATAGCTTGGATAGGCGAAACAGCCCATACCTGCTATCTCTATCAGAAGCTTTGCCATGGCCAAACTATTTGGTTGGTCTGCTTCGGAGGCTAGCTTTTCGCTCGATGGTTGCGGAAATTGTGCATGCAAGATACGCTCGCCGTCAGAGGCGAGCGAAATCGGCTCTCCCACGCGAGCCAGGTTAAGCTAGATTATATTAGCGTTATCAAACGCCTCTCCTCGCTCGGTAAGGCTAAAATAGCCCTTGCATGGGATCCAAACGTGACCCTTTATTAATGTAATGCAACCACACATTAGTACATTCACAGTTCTCATTGGTTAATCTCAACTAATTAGAGATAATAACTGCTTTGAAAAAACAATTGGATGTACTTAATGAGGGTAATAACAATTTAATTTGTCATAGCTTCTTGGCTATTAAGAGTGATATAATTTTATAAATAAACCCTCTTATTAATGTTTTGAACAAGAGCCTTGTTTTAATCTTTTCCTAAATCTAGACCTTTATTAGGCTATTCCATCCTAGGAACAAATCCTATACACACAAGCTTCCTGTACACACTCCGTGCACATCAACTAGTAAATGTCACAGAAAATACTAGTAAAAATTGAACGCATACTCCTAATAGTATTACACATATCTGCAAAGTCTCATATTCAAATTCATTATATTTTAGCCGTAACAAAAAATTGAAAAATCTGACAGTTTTTGGGTAAAAATCTGTCAGAATTTTGTCTTTTTTGTTACTGTTAAAATATAATGAATTTGAAGATAAGATCTCACACGTTGGTGTAATACTATTGAAAGTATGTGTTCAATTATTTCTAAAATTTTAAATGATATTTGTACGGGAAGCTTGTTTGCATAGGATATGTTCCATTCCATCTTAGTGGCACTTCACTGCCACATGATCGTTAATCACACATACAGGACGCCCACATCTCTGGATCTGCATCTATGATGTGGACTTATCACAAACATGGAACATAAGCCTCCAGGGAGAACTTTTACGGTGTTTGCATTCTAAAAAAGGTAAATATCCAACGCTCTATAATGAAAGGTACCACTTAAATGGTATTCAAGTATTGTTATAGGTATTTAGGCAGGAAGGGTAAAATTATAATTGTTTTGAAGATGGAGAAGGGTATAATTGTCTCAATATTAGCTCTAGGTACATAGGTACCGCATCTGTTCATCTTCTATAATCCTCCATTGTGTTATTTACGTGTTCTTTTGTGAGATTTACATTTGGTATCTAACAACAAGGTCCAACGCTATTCGTCTTCTTCCTCCCGTCCAAGCTTAGGCAAACAGGAGGAGTAGGCTAAGGGCATTGAGGTTCTAATGGCTGTATGACAACGGTGATGGCGGTAAACATGTCTCGCGGCACAACGCGCCCATGGGAAATGGAGGCAGGCACAAAGGACAACAAGCGCGCTCAGAACAAGAGCGCTAGGGTTTGACTCGGGGAAAGAAAGAATGGCGGGTAGTGAGCTTTAGTCGGTATTTCGGCCACCTAAGGGCGTCACCACGCGTCCTAGCCGATAGGTAATCCGTTTTTCCGAAGTTGTTGACGAAAGTGGTGCGGGAGTGATTGGTAGCGGTGGAGCTTGATGGGATGGCACAGGAATGGCCATGGACAAGAACGAGACGGTGGAGGAGAACAAAGGAGACATCAATCTTCGCTTTTTGTCCCATGCAGATCAATTAAATCCACTAAATTTGCAGAAGATTTACATTGTTTCTGCCAAACGATACAAGCCACTAAATCTTTGGAAGATTTACTCTGGTTCCTATTGAAAGATACCGATCATATATATGGAGCTAGCTATTCTCTATTCACTGAAAATACCGTATTTTACTAGTTAATTACCGCACTGCCATCGTTTACGATAATTTTATTCCGTACCTTGCCCCTCTCTTAATCAACGGTACATATTATTCTATCTCTCAGTACTTCTAAGTACCTCACAAACACCGCAAAAGCTCTATTAGGGAAAGAGATCACACGCATTGTTTTCCTTCCATGTCCATTTCTATGATAAGAGACGCAGATGTATCAGGCATTTGTGAAAAAATTGTCAGAGACACTTTTTTATTTAACCGCGTCTCTGATAATAGATCAATCATAAATGCGTGTTAACGTCTGTGCCATATACAAATCATAAATGTGTGTTCCTTCTCCTAATCTGTGACGATAGCCAGCAGAGATCCGGCTCGATCGGTGAGTTATCATATACGCTTTGATATTCAATGTATCTGCGATGCTATCTTAGAGACGCATACAGTTTTTGTCTGTTATATTGGTCGGCTATTTGGTATTGTGTGGTAGTGGTTGGCATATCGAAATACCCACTGCCTCACAGTCACAGGTTAAAAACTAAGACTTACTGGAAATGTCTAATTAGAAGGCTACTCTGAACGTTCCAAAATAAATTAACTTTTATATATGAATATGAACATAGGTTATATCCAGATTCAGATTCAAATTCATGTATAAAAATTGATTTTTTTAAGACGTAGAGGAGTACATAGATGGATAGGAAAATTGTTCGTTTCCATTGCAATAATTGCCATTGATAAAATTGAAATTGTAATAATTGAAGGCAAAATTGAATATCAAAGCGTAGTACATACGAGGAAAGGGAATATTAAAGGCAAAATTTAAGTAGTACTGTATGCACTATTTAGGGCCCCTTTGAATCGAAGGATTGAGAAAACGTAGGAATAGGAAAAATGTAGGATTTTGATAGGAATGTAAGTGTAAAACATAGGATTGCAAAAACGCAGTAAAATCACAGGAATGACTGTTTGATTGAACCGTAGGAAAAACGTAGGAATTGGATAAGAGAGATAGACTTAAAAAAAATTACCAAGAGGTTGAGGGCTCCTTTGAATCATAGGAATGAAAAAACGGAGGAATAGGAAAGACATAGGATTCTGGAAGGAATGTAAGTGTAAAACAGAGGATTTCGAAACACAGGAAAAATACATGAATGATTGTTTGATTGGACCACAGGAAAAACATAGGAATCGGATAAGAGAGATAGACTCAAAGGATTTTTACCAAGAGGTTGGACCTCTTGCTGAGTTTCCTTCAAAACCTATATGCAATAAGTCATTCTATAGGAATTTTATAGGAATAGGAAAAATTCAATCCTTTGAATCAAAGGGCTACATAGGAAAATTTCCTATAAGATTTCAATCCTATGAAATTCCTTCATAATTCCTTTGATTCAAAGGGGCCCTGAAGCTCTTGCTAAATTTCCTCCAAAATCTCTATAGGATTGTCCATTCCATAGGAATTTCAGAGGATTGGATAGGATTCAATCCTTTGTTTCAAAGGGCTTCTTAGGAAATTTTTCTATAGGATTGAAATCCTCCAAAATTCCATTTTTCTATAGGATTGAAATCCTCCAAAATTCCTATATTTTTCCTCAAAATCAATGGGGCCCTTAGTTTTATCAGGGCGACGCCAGTCATGCATGAGTGAACTGCTACTAATTAGCTACAAGTACACGACAAAGCTAGATCAGTTTTGCTATCTAGGTCATGCATGCAAATTTTTCTTCTTGTATAATTTTCTTTTACTTATATGATTTACAATCCGATCCCACTGTTATATTCGTTGCAATAAAATCTTTGTTATAAGATCCCAAATGATTATTTTTTATAAAAAAATGTACGCATTAAATTACTTTTATCATATATGTAAATTACCTTTAGATCTGAATAAATTAATATTTAAACATTTATGAAAGTAAATTCAATAAAGCATAAAATTAATTTACATAAATCATAAAAGTAACTTAGTATTAGAAGTAAATCCATTGTAGAGGTAAAAATATGAGTTTATCTAAAAGTTAAATTTAATCAACACAAATTATGTAATTGACTAAAAATAACAATAAAAATAAATAACTCATAAAATTATGAACAGATAAGAAGTAATTTAATCAAATATAAAAGTAATATATATATATATATGCTAAAAGTAATTTACAACTTAGATATGTTATTTTATTAGAATATAATCATATATAATATTGTTATAAAGATTTAATTACAACGAATATTAGTAATTTAAAAGGAAATTTTATTTGAAGGTTAGCTATTGGGAATTTTTTCTTACTAATCCATGCTTGCATACTCCCATGTGGGAAAGGAACGATGCATATTACCTTTTTTACCATTTTCTAAACTGTTAGTTGGTTAAGATTAATTAGTGCACCTGCACTAATTATTAATCATGTCCAATATATATTAAACCATACAAAAAAATCTCAGGAGACTGACTTCAGCTTACACCTGACAGTCAATCACATAAGTAAACTGGAGTGAAGTTAATTTACATATATGCACATGAATAAAGTAATATAAGTATGTTTTCTTAATTACCATGGGTTGTGCAGCGTCCGGACCAAAATTAAGTGCGTTACAGTATATCCCACTGGTCTTGTTCACATGTTCAATTTCTTTCCTCAGTCTGCTGATCTGCTTGGTGATGGTGTCCAGTGGCAAGAGCAGCTTGGATTTGGCACGAGGCGGCTTCTCCGCACGAAGGCAAAACTCCTGGAGGTAGTCCTCGACGTCCTGAGGGAACCGTATCCTCTAACATTACATAATAATGGTATGGTGTGACATTCCTTTGATCCACATCTTCCATTCTAAATCAACGGTCATAGATTATTTGGTATGCAATTAATCAAACTAATTAGTAGATTATGTAGTTAAATAAATTCCCGTAGACCAAATATATTATCAAGGAGGCAAATATCGCTAAATGCTACAGGAATCGGCAAGTAACTAGCACATGACGATAATTAGGTTTAACTTACCTGTTAGACGCAATGATTAGCATATGAACCTGTTAAGAAATAAATCTCGTGCATCAATTTTATTTGTGTTGCCACATCTTCCATCAGAAAGAGACAATTCTCTTAATCTACAAGTTGGTGAGCTCATGTTAATGAACATAAAGGGACTATTAGTGTAAAAAAATTTCCTACTCATTATGTATGGTAATGTTTAACTACATAATCTGCTAATTAATTTGATTACTTGTATGCCAATTAATCTATAGCTATTGATTAATGTTAGAGGATACGGTTCCCGTCCTGAGACAGGCCGCGGATGTGTCGCAACCAGGTTCTCAAACTCTTGGAGGGAGTCGTCGTCGTCGTCGTGTGGTGGGTGTGGCTACGCTTCTCGGCGTCGGCGGCATCCGCCAGGAATGACTCCATGAACTCAAGATCCTTCTTGATGAAAGCCACGTCCTCCGCTAGCGTGTCGGACGCCTTCTTCTTGTCCCTCATCCGGTGCAGCTCCGTCAACACCAGCGCGGTCATGGCTATCGTGGCCTCTAACTTCCACTCCAGGCCGAGTACCATTTCGATTTTGGTGGTGCGTGCGTAATTTCTCTGTCTTCTGAACTGTGCTTGTGCTCATTCCAGAGAGATCAGGATGGCTTATATAGCTGTTCGATCCGTTGATCCGTTGGATATATCTCTCCTCTATCTCTATTATTATAAAAGTTGAATATGTTTTTATCGGTTCTTTGGTACGTCATCCGTATATGAGTCGGTTTTTAAATTCGTTCGCTTTTAAAAATACAGATCCGTATTTGAGTAGGGTTTTAAGTTTGTTCGCTTTTAGAAATATAGGAGTTGTATAAAAAATCTATTTAAAAAAACTTGCATGCTAACTTGACATGATTTTCTAGAAAAATATATATCCAAGCGAATTCTCACTACAATAATAAGATTAAAATAGCCTTCATCCGTTGCAACGCATAGAAATTTTTTCTAGTACGTATATCTTTATCTTTACCTATTATAAAAATTCAAGGTGTTTTTACTGAAAAATTTCATACGTCGCCCCAGTTGGAAATAGCGCACCTTTTTTTTTCCAACTTGCTGCAGGAAGATGTCATCCGTCCAACTTGCTGCTTAATGATGACGCCTTCTGAATAATTTGGTCTCTTGCTCGAGCTGGTGTACGTTTAGTGATCAATCAACTTGCTCTACCACACCATCCCACCAGTAGATCAAACTTTTTTTTTCAAGAATCAATGGTAGGAGTTCTACTCTACCTGATATTAAAAGAAGAAGAGAATTGACCCCGTTTATAATGAAACTGGACCCAAAAACTATACAACTGCTCAGTTTACTACAGGAGAACCCGCAAAACCCCACACAGAAGACAAAGCAAAAAGCCTGTGACAAAATGACTATGAACCATGAAAGTGACCGAGGAAGGAGCAAGACCTTAAAGGCGAAGCCTCCAAGGAGGGCAGCAATGAAAGGAGCTGCTGCCAACGCCCGCCCATGAACCGGACTGGGTTTTCACCCAAAGGGGGAGAGAGTCAACGAGGCAACACCTCCAAGGAGGATACGTCACCACAGGCGTCGATGTCACCGATCTTAGAATAACAAGCAGGGTTTTTACCCAAGACTCCCTCGAAAGGGGCATGACCTCCAGGAAACCAAAGTGAAAGTGTTGAGTGTTATCATTGCCTAGCTCATGGGCTAAACCCGATGTAGTATCTCCGACTCCGCCTAAACACTTAAACTCTAGCACAACAGAGGGCAAGCACATTGCTCCAAACTCGGCCCTACGACAGGTTCACTAAGACACAGGGCACTTAAAGCACCGGCGAGGCCAAAAAGCCCGGACCACAAACAAGCTGGACCAACTTCACGGATGAACACTTCTCCTCATCCACCGGAAGACTCCACGACCATGGTCTAGAAGCAGTCTGGCCAACATAAGAGAGGAGCATCAAGGAGGGGAGGAGGTCTGGCCGGTCGGAAGAGGAACCGAAAGTTGAAGACAGGTGCATGAAAGACATCGGTGTCAACCATGTTTCCGACGAGATCCTGGAGAAGCTCTGTGGCAGAAGGCACATCTCCACCAAGGGCCACCAGGCTTCGCAGCAAATCACCATTTTACAACTGTGACAACAACCTCCAACCTTACCACCAGCACAGAGAGGAGAGCAGGGGCGAACAAAGCAGCAAAGCAATTAGCTTCAAGGAAGAAGAGACGAGGGAAGAAGCGAGAGGAAGGGAGGTGGTGCTAGGTGGCAGCAGAGGTGGGGGTGGGGGTGGGGGGGAGGGGGAGACGCAACGACAGTCGGAGGTCGGCGTCGCCCCGTTTGCGCCGGTGCACTGGAGTCACCGACGTGCCCCACCGCCGACGGCCGCACCGGAAAGAGCGACGGTGGGCACGGCCTCGCGCATTCTTGCCTCGCATGCCGGCTCGCGCCACACTGCCTTTGCCGCTGGAGAGGGGGTGACGGTGGGCGCCACCTCACGTGTGCCGCCCTCCGCCACCTGCGTGCCTGCTTCGCGAGCCATCTTGCAGCGGCCCCCTTTGTCGTCGGCCACACCGCCTCCGTCACGCCACGCCACGGCGCCGCCTGCTTCGGTCGAATCGAGCCTGGGGCAGGCCAGATCCAGCGACGGCAATCGCGGATCTGCTGCCACCTTGCCGGGAGAGCTCGTCGCCGCCATTCCCCGCCGTCGGCGTTCGCCGCCTCTCACGCGCCCGAGAGGAAACGCCACCATAGGAGAAGGCCCCGCCGCCACCCTCCTAGCTCACCGGGTAGCTTTCCGGTGGTGAGCTCTGGCGGCGGCGCTGGTTTTCGCCCCCCGTATCACCTGTGCGTAGCGACGCGGGGGTTGGTCTAGTTTCATAAAACAGTTTTACATATAGGTTGTAGACTAGTTGATCAAACTGGCCAAGGGTGAAGCCATGATTTGGATGATTGCCAACTTGTATGGGGAAATCTATGATAAAAAAAAAGAGAGATAATACCATTGAACCCTTCCAAAAAAAAACAAACTATAATGTTTTTCTAAAATACACCCCTCAGCTTGAAACCAGATGTGAAAACTCCCTCAACTATCTATTATAAAAAGTTAGTCGGTATAGCGGAATGACAACTAACTTTCCCAATCGCTTCAACCATTGATCAACTCATACATGTCAAATGACAACACAAGAACATATGATATTTGTTGACAACTTTTAGCCAATGCATACATCCCCGAGACACTGATTACGGGTGCTTCCTCTCCCCAACAATCAACATAGCACAGTTAGCTGCTAGGAGTACATGGCCTCACCACTATCCTCTCCATACGCACCTGCGCTACATTGTTGTCACTATGGTTATAGTATGGCGTCTCTCTCTTTATTTAAAAGGTGTCGGGTTGCAAAGTCTGATGCTAACTCCATCCTTACCACCTATACAACTCCAAGTCCAACTGTAACATATTTGAGAAAATTCGATTAATAGCACAAGAAACAAGCTGGTACCCAAATAATAGCAAAAACCTTCTAGCTTTCCATCAGAAACACATGCCACCCTTTTTTCTTGTATGCATAGCACTTCCGTCATATTTTAAGCAAACGGTGCTAGGTTTGAGTAGAGAAAATTTTAATTGGACGAATTTTCATGGTTGTCATCATCGCCGAGGACATAGCCTGGCGTGACAGCTCCATCGTACCGTAACTCGACCTGTGCGTGCACCGCCGAGTTATATGTGGCATACATCCTGGTGAGCCCCTCAGACATGTCGCCGGGCGGTCACGGCTTGTCCTCCACGGGAGCAACGAGGGTGGTGACGACGGCGGTAGAAGGATCACTCATGACGGTGCGCGGGACAAACCTAGCTTGATGCACTCGATGGAGTCAATGTGCCGTCAACTTGTGGGTGGTGCGGCGACACGGAGAGGACATAGGGCGCGATGAGTGCGGATGTGATGGAGCCATCGAGCACGGAGGGCAAGGAAATATCGAAGGGGTGCTTCTTAGTGAGGAAGTGGAGCATCTCGTCCTTCAAGCAGCCCAGAGTGGCCTTGGCGAGGTTGTGTGCGACCTACGGCTCCGCCAAAATGGTGGCGATCTTTTACGAACTAGTGGGGGAATTGGTTCAAACTAGGAATAAAAGCGGGTCAACCTGCGAACCTACTTATATGTTAAATAAAGGGTAATCCGCAGGTTTTCACGTTATGGCTCAGCTTGCCGCATCGTAGAGACGCAAGTGGATCAACCCATAAACCCATTTATTTGTCAAATTAATAGGTAACCCACGTGTCAACCCGCATGTTACTTACTAATTTTGCCTATAAGCGGGTTTGTGGGTTGGCCCACTTGCATCCCTAGTTCAAACAGGTTGGGGGCAAGGAACAGTGTAAGAAAAAGAGGAGAAGACTTGGGAGAGGAGCGATAGTTTGGGATTGAGTGATTTTATGTATTTAAAAGTTGTCCGGCTTCTATTGCATAGGAGTACTTATAGATTCGTACACCCTGGCCTAGCTTTTACACCCATTCTGGCCCAATTACTTGAGAGCTGGGCCGCTTCAACCGACCGCCATGGCCAATACTTTTGACTGGGTTTGCCGCCAGTGAGGTATCCTTGGTAGTAATAGCAGTTGTAACATTCCTCTCCCCTTCAGAACCATCTTGTCCCCAAGCTGGTGCACCCGGGAAACGATGGCGCAAAGCCGCTGCATCTTCACAAGTTGCTTCATCAGACGTGGCTCCCGACCAACGCACCTTGATTTGTTCCGGCACCGCTACTCCTCGCTTGCAACGCCGACATGCCAGAACTTGAACTTGAACATGATCTTCATTTGGCATTGTAGGAGGAAGACGAACAGTAGAAAGGTCTCCAAAAGACAAAGCTTTGCAAAGCTGCGAGACATGGACCCTCAAGTGGATGGAGCAAGATGCAGGCAGCTGGAGACGATACGCTACTGATCCCACTCTGGCTGTCACCTGAAATGTGCCAAAATAATGAAATGCTAATTTATGGTTGGTGTGCACTGCCACTGATGATTGAGCATAGGGTTGGGCCTTGAGGAACAACCAATCGCCCACAACAGACACATGATCAGAGTGAGTCTTATCAGCTTGCGGTTTCATCCTCTACTAAGTGCAATTCAAATGCTAACACAGCAAGCTAGTCACTACACTCCTTTCTTTCATCCACTCCTCCAGATTAGGTACTGCACAAGATCAAATATCTAGGACCCAAAATGGCGAGGTGGATGTCCATACAGCAACTAAAACGGCGACGTACCCAACACAGAGGGCCTGCTCGGATGGCAGGTATAGCAGCTGCTTGCAGCCAACCGCGTCCAGCCACTGCTTCTTTTTGTACTTGCTTCACTGTTCCTACAGGCTGTAGCGCCCTTGCAGCCGAACAGGCCCAGAATGATGGGCTGTGTTATACCAAAATTCCGCCAACTCCAACCATCGATACCACCTCTTCGGGTAAGCATGCACAAAGTAGCGCAAAATGGTTTCTAAGCATTGATTGACCCGCTCAGTTTGCCCATCCATTTGCGCATGATACGCTGAGCTCATCCTCTATTGAGTATCTTTTAGGCTGAACAACTCAGTCTAGAGGGTACTTGTAAAGATATAGTCCCGATCCAACACTAGCGATTGAGGTAACCCATGAAGCTTGTAGACATTAGATAGATACACCATTGCAACATCAAAAGCTGTAAAGGGGTGAGCTAAGGCAATGAAGTGAGAATACCGCG